AATTGCCAATAATTCTGACATTTTATAATACACCTTTTACAACCAATAGAAAAGCAGAGTTGTAATCTATCAAATGATGTATAATGCCACATTGTTTTTAGTACAGAGTACTATTAATTTCTTCTTCAGTTTGAAAGTTTATTTCACAGAGTTCAGCTGGAGCAGCAAAGGGAATTAATTTAAGCCTCTCTTGTCCTAGTTAGAAAGCCAGTTAAATAGTTAAAGGACTATGTTTGCTTTGTGCATGTTACTATTCTGTGTTCTTAGTTGCATTATTGAAGTAAATAAAAATTATTTATGTGCTAGTACCATCATTATAAAAATAATAAAAATTCTTCATGAGGTATGATGCTTGCAAGTAGCTCTTGTTTTACATCATTCAATAGGGTAATATGAGCTACATGTTCACTGAGTGATTTACAACTTTTGTGGCAGGATTATTGGTTAGAGGGGTCCAAATGGCAATAAAAAAAATCAAATTAAGTATAAACAGATGTAGATTGTTACAAGCTTTAAGCTATTTAGGAAAATTAACTATAGTTTTCTGTTACAATCAGCTGTCATTTTAGAATGAAAATGGAGTAACTTAGCTTTATTTGGTATATTTTACAGTGGTTACAAGGTCGGCCAAATCAACCAAGTCCATACAAAGTTAGAGTAGAGAAAATAACAGATAAAATATAAAGTTTTACTGAAAAAACATTTGATATTTATTTAGGAAATTTTAAGTATTACACAAATGAAATTTGAAAAGTTTTGAATAAAGGAGTTATTTTTAACCTTTACATGAAATATTCACTTGGCATTCAGAGCAATCAACACAGACAAGTCTTTAGCAAAAATACTTAGTTGGAAAATCTGATTTTTCATGTACAAGCTTTTAATGTTTACAGAAAGACAGCCAAATTTTGTGAAGATATACAAAACATATTAAGTTACAGTGTGAAAACTCTGGTGGTTACTTTGTGGTAACATAATCAGTCAAGTTGCCCAACCCCAAATGTAAATAAGAGTTCATTACTTTTGGTTAAAACAAAATAGAATGTAAGCAAACAACACTTATAATCCCAAATGGTTTGGGATTGCAAATCCTAATGGTAAACTAAGTGTTTAATCAAATGCACTGTTAGCACTTTTTTTATCTTACTCCATAAAAAAAAAAAAACCTTAAGCTTTCACTGTAGTAATTGATTTTTAATGCACGTAATACTATAGAATACATATTTTTCCATGTATTGCGTATGAAGATCTAAGTCAAGCAGTACAGTGAGAATACATTTTGTTTTTGACATTTATGCAGATTTTTTTAACAAACCTGATCCTCTCAGTGCTTTTGTATAGGTTAGAAACTTTAGATCTAATGAATGGTACCTAAAACATATCTTTATCGGGAGTAGATACAGGATATTGGATAGGGAGTGGGAAACTCTTGGATCAGAATATAAGCTCAATGATACATAGACCGTGCTGATACATGCAATTCTTAAATATTTTAATCAATAAAATACATGTATCATTAACATTTTCAAAATAGTATTAATAATAAGGGACATAATGCTCCAATTTTCACTAATGGTATAGAATAAGTATTACTTATTGTACAGTTTCATAAACTGAGTAACAAAGTTTATACTTGACTATTGCTCTAGAAATAGGGAGGAGTAGATCCAAAAATCCTTCTCTATCAGCCTATTTTTCTCTCTAAACATAGTAGAAAGCTTCTATATGATATTTTTGGGATTTTAAAATGGCCTAAAGATTTCCAAAAAATTAGCTAAGTCAATAGAATTGTTACAAATGATGTTGACAATTCTGGCTAATTTTATGCCTTGTAACAACAATGCAATTAACTTCTACTGCTTGAATAGGTCTCCACATATAAAATCAAATACATTGTTGGATTTTTACACTTTATCATCTTTAACCTTTCAACTGCTGTTGACATCATATGATGTAAACATTTTGTGCACAACATTCTGAATGGCTGGAAAATTTTGCATGGAGTGGTAAGCATATTTACACAAGCCACAAACGAAGAGTTAACTGTTATGAACTGACTACTGTGAATGGTGATGGTGGTTTTAACCTTTTGACAAAAAAAAAAAACAGAGAAAAGTACTGGTACATAAAACATTTTTTACTTGGAAAAGGCTGCTGCTTTTTTCTTCTTATAATTTTTTACAATTTGTTGGTTGGTGTAAACACTGTAACTCTCCTATGACATTTTGTATACACTATTGTATTCCTACACTATAATACAAAATTTATATGCTATACAACATATTTCAGTATTAAAATAAGAGCACCTTTCTTCTTATGGTTTTTTAAGCAATATAGAAGAATACATGACACAGCTGTAAATACTACATATATCCACATTAAAATATTTGAATTGATTTGTCAGGACTTTAGCATCATGCCAAATGGTAAATTTATTTTATTTTTAAGAAAAACTTTTTAATGTGTGATAATGCATTGCTTTAATAACTCCAACAAATAGCTAAAAAGTATTCACAGTACGAAAGGTTCAGAAAATGTTACACAGAAAATTATTTCAAACATGGACAGCATAGGAAAATAACAGATAATTAATTATAAAAAAGTGAATTTCAAAGCATGTACACTCTTTACTTATAACGCAGTGTAATATTACCAGGGGTATAAAAAGCATTAAAATATGTTACTCAAGTACAAGTAAAACAATCCATCCTGAAATTTACTTAAGTTAAGAGTTAAAAAGTATCTACTGAATAAGTACTCAAGTAACAAAAGTAAAAAGTACATTCATCTGCAGTTTTCTCAAACCCTACATGTATGTTGCAGGCCATGAGGTCTAGAAACAAAACCCTGTATGGAAAAGATTTACCAAACTACGTTAATTACCAGTGAATAGCAGTGATATAAGATTTGTCATCTTTCAGTTATCTAGAACACATTAGTTGTATATAATTGATTACTATGGTACTCACAACTACACTTAGGGTTTCAGCCAACTCAGGCAAGCAACTGTGCATGAACTTATTATAACAGTAAAGCCAATAATGAATATTGTGCAAGTCTTATTGTTTCAGAATAAACAAGTATATGAATTCAACCAACTATATCATGTACAAAATTTCTTGTTCAATTTGAGAAGCAACTGGTTTTCAAAGTTGACACAGTCAAGCCTTACATGCAGAGGGCTGAAAATCTGCCTAGAACAACTGAAGAGATGATCGCAGGCAGCAGAGGCAGGAAGTGGCGTGTTCAAATGTATGGCTATAGGCTTGAGAAAGACTAGAAAATCTCCATGCCATTAACAGGTAGGCCTCTAGGTCTCTCTTCCTGAAGCTATGCCATGGCTTCAGAGTTTCCGCGCACACATTGCATTTTAACTGCCTGCCACAAATTTGAGTTTTGAGAATAGTAATGAAATGTATAAAATGAAAGGTAGTGGAGTAAAAGTATTTGAAAATATAAATACTTTTTAAAAAGTCGATACTGAAAAAAAGTTACTCAGGTAAATTACTTCGTTATCTTTACACACCTGAATTTTACCAAACTAAACAGACTTCTAGTTATTCTCCAACAGATCTGGAAGACTGGCTACTGCAGTGAAGAAGAACAAGATGATAATTTGGAGGAAAGCAAATGCAAAAGAAAGAATTGTGTAAGCCACCCACTTTTATAGCCAGACCAATGTCCCAGTGAAGAATTCCTCAATTCTTAGATTATATACCTTAATCATTCTTATACATACACAATCCAAAACATCCAAAACCCATTTTTACTGGTTTCTCTATTACCTGCTTGAAAATATTAGAAACTCAGGAAGTCCATACAGATACAGGTACATGCTAGCTAGACTTGAAAACAAGTTTCTATATACAACCTTCCATACATAAAAGAATTAGTACAACACAGCATTGTGACATCTGGTAAATGTGATTTAATATAAGCAGAAACTGCATGATTAAAATATATTTAGACAAATATATATTCTATACTAGTCATGAAAGGGTGGAATATGATATTAAATCACCACACCATGAATAATAATTTTAAATTGGCAATTACTGTTAAAAATACTTCATAGTTTTTATTCTATAGAGCATAAGACAGTTAAAAATATCCACTGGCACTGTTGGATAAAAGATAGTTGAATAACATTTATAGTAACATCATTAATGGTATAGTATAAAAATTGCTTATTGTACAGTTTCATAAACTGAGTAACAAAGTCTATACTTGACTACTGCTCTAGAAATAGGGAGGAATAGATCCAAAAACCCTCCTCTATCAGCTTATTTTTCACCCTAGATATAGTAGAAAGCTTCTATGTGATATGTTTGGGATAGGTATAGCTAAATCAATGGAAATGCTACAAATGATGTTGAAAATTCTGGCTAATTTTATGTTTATTTCCACCCTAGCACACTAAAAACTATCAAGTTTAATTACATATGTAATTTCAGATATACAGAATTTAACAGGATAGAAATGTATCAGAAAATTAAAAGCAAAACAAGTGTCAATGCAATATAAGCTCCATCTATTATTTTGATATGTTATTTAAATATTAATATTATTTTTAGTTTAATGGTTATTTTGACCATAATCAAAAGCATATATCATAAACAAAAACTCAAGAATAAAACATTAACCATAATGTGCATAAATACTTTAGCTAAACAAAATTGTAAACTAACATTCACTGGCTAAAACCAAGGTAATTTTTTTTTTCAGTATAGCACACTGTATGATTTTAACTCAAGTTTTTCTTGCTTACTTCATTATTTATTCAAGTAACACCTTGTAATGATACATGCATATGATTTAAGTGAGTGTATGTGAAATTTCTATTAACAGTAATGAGTATTTTCTTTCATTTCAGCACTATCATGTAGTTTCATTAACTTTGGCCTTATTATATATTTTCCTTAAATAACAAACTTTATAAGATTATTATGTTGAACTTACATTAAACCAAATTAAAATATTAAAACAAGCACAAGAAATACCTGAGCTTTCATGTAGCGAAGGCAAAAGTCTAACAGGAAAGATTTTCCTTTCCGAAAGGCACCAGCAACAGCAACAACAACAACATGCTTGTCACGAATGTGCTCTTGTAGTAGTATAGATTCTAAAGAATCTTCATCAAGTTCAAACATGTGTTCTTCACCAGAGACAACAATCTGGACTGGTTTGCCCTTCATTTTCTCTCTTTTGTAAACTTGGTATGTTACACCTTCATAAACAAGCAATAACCCTGTCAGTTTAAATACTTAAGAAACTTTGAACAATTACTCTCAATACCTCTTAAAAACTACTAATAATAAACTATTCACTAAATAAATATTATGTCTAATCAAAAATTATTTTTTAGCACTTCTTGAGCTTCACAAAAAATGCTGGTGTAAAAATTATGAGAACTTCAAGATCTGTACTACGTTACATATTAGTTGAAAAATATATTTTGTCTTAAACATGCTCTACCCGCCTGAAGTCATAACAAAACCCTACTGCACCTAAATTTACCTTGTCTCTCTTTGGGGTCTAAGTCAAAACAAAACAATACACAATTATATAGCTAAATTTAGTAGTTTTTTTTTGATGCAGAATAGATAACTAAAAGAGTAAAGATTTTGTCACCCCCCTCATAGAATGTGCCACTCTATGATATACATTTTACTTGTCTATTAAATCACCATATGCATATCAATGTATACATGTAGTTGAAATTGTATTTTCAGCATTTAGGTTACCTACAGGACATGTTCACATTATATGTGCGAGTCCATACTTTACAGGATTACTGCAAGAACTAAATATCAGGAAGTTTTACAGTGTGTTGCACACAGGTGTGTTAAGCTCTTCATAGCTTTACTCTTAGATTTTAAATATGAAGATTCAGAAAAATCAATGCTAATATTAAAATACAGCATTTTAAATACACAATTTACCTTTCAAAGCTGATGAATCCTTTGCACACATAACTCTTAGAAAAAACTGAATTAGCCTGTCATATAAAACTTTAATGCCCTATGATGAGTCATGATTACTGAAGATGTAAGTTCATGTATTGACTACATTCTTAAAAGCCTGTTCTGATAGCTTCAACCTACACTTTATCTTCCCACTTATTAGGTGGTAGTCTACACTGACAACTCCACCCTATTCACAACTGTACATGTCAACTTCACATTATGTTATACAGAGAATAATTTCAAACATGGACAGCAAAGAAAAATAAACAAATACAAAAAACTGAACTTAGAAACAGTTCTTTATTCACAACACAGTGTTATATTACCAAACTGGCCAAGTTGGACAACTTAAAAAAAATACAAAAAACTTCTTTTAAGCTACACTTAGGGAGATAAGAGAAACTCTTTGATACATATATATACGTCCATATATATAAGAGCATGCAAGGGATGCAAATCTAAAACAAATATGTCAAAATTAAGAACACTTAAAAAATTTGTTTCTGCAAAACTGATAGCCTTAATTCTCATTATTTAGTGAGGTATGTAATAGTAAGCTAATACCAGACTTTCATATAGTTTTACCACTATGGTTTTTTTGTAGTAACTTTTTTTACTGATGTTACAAGGTCAGATTGAAATACTAGTAACAATTACTCTCCAACAAATGTAAACAGTGGTGTGTTTATTATTTTTCTGTAATTTCTTTTTCATTGAAATCTTGTACACTAGAAATACAAAGTTCATCTGGGTAAGAAGTTTACTGCAGAATATTACATATTTAAAGTATTTTCTGTTATTAAAATGTTGAACTTACCCTTTTTTTACTTAATTGTATATTGTATAGTAGACTGTTGTTTCAATCACAAATAATCCTTATAATGTTCAGTAATATAAGAACATAACAAGCAGATGATAGATAGCCAGGCAGCCCATAGAGGTCACCCACAAAGTTTCCAAACTGTAAGAAACAATGAAACAAGCCATTTAAGCCCACAAATTATTTTAACCAAGCTTCAGAAGAACCCAAGCTAACAACACATGCCATGTCTTTTGCAAAAATGTCTCAAACTAAGCAAAAAACAAAAAACTTTTGCTGAAGAAAATGAGCACATTTAGTCTTCTAAAACTTCAATTAAAATTTTAGTCACAATTTTATATCATGCTTTAAGATATTAATCAAGCTACCTACAGGTAGACTACACAGTCCTCTTATGAAGCAGCAAGGCTCTTCCTCAATCTCATTACACACACAGTGCTACTCGGCAGTCTCATGCTAACAACACACAGCCTAGAAACTTCAACCCAACCCAGCAATCTCATTTTAACAACAATGAAACATACACACAACAACAGGTCAACTACTCAGTCAAGGATGGTTGAAGCTACAATCAAATAGCCTTCAGTAGCACTACTAGTTGGATGCCAATATAACAAATATGTAAAAAAAAAAAAATTATATTGACTGAGGCTTAAACACTAACAAATTTTAGTAGTACCAAGTAATGTGAACAGAGAACTCCTTTGGAGTTTTTACAATCAAAATCTTAATTTCAAAGTTCTTTCAAGCTAGGATTAGATAAAAAAGTTTAAGCAGGAAGTTAAAAGATTATCGGGGATATTCCTTGATCAACAAGTGAATTGATTAGACCCATGGTACAGTTTAAGGTAGAGGAGAAACATTTGAATATGATGGACTGCTCCATTTACTAAAGTTTGGTAACTAAAAAACTACCAGTGACTTTTAAATTATGTTTAATAAAGATGAGGGAAACTCTTTAATATTGGGAGATCCAGTTAGGGATATTAGAAACCATGATATAAGTACAATAATTACTTATAGTGATAAAGAAGTTGAAAACAGACTTAGTTCTTTTTCATTTTTCATAATGTTATAGCTCTAAGTACAGCAATTTATAAGAAAAATGTCAAAATCTATTGCTGTCAAAAATAGTTTAGAAAAGGATAGTTAAAAATTGTAATTAACTATTACTTCTCAGCAAGGTTTTAAGAAAGGTTTATGTTTTTGTTGATGAGGGTAGTTTTGTAATTCTGCATCTTGCTTTTTCAAAGCCCTTAGTAAGGTGTTTCACAAGAGATTATAAAGCAGAAAACTTTTGAAATAGGCATGAAAGAGTAAAGTAGAGTACACTGATTTAGTGGTAGAAAATATAAGTAGAGATGAATGGGTATTTGTCCAACTGTAATAATGTAATTCTTATGGAATCTGTTTTTAATCATTTAGTTCAACAATTTTGATAGTTTCTCACAGTAATAGTATTTGATAATAATGCTAAGATAATGGAAAGAGTTAACTCTGACAGTTTTTGGGGACTTAATTTCAATAATTAGGAGGATAAAGATATGCACTCGGAGCATGGAAAGTAGGGAAGGGTTTGAGTCTTACATGAAAGTACGTTGTTTAGGAATTAAAAAAGAGAACGGATTTAGATGTATTTGTTGATAAGACCTTGAAGCTTTCAGCTGAATGTTTAGCTGTAGTGAAAAGGGCAAAAAAAAAGATAATACCTTACTTCTATTTAATAGATTGTTAAATTAAAAGCAAGAAAGTTATTGAAAATTTAGATAAGGCACTGGTTAGCCTTCATTTGGAGTAATACATGCAGCTCTAATCCTTTTATTTGATATGGGCTAATAGAATTATACTTAAAATGTAATTAAGCAAAGTCATGTAAAGATAAGATACAATGATATTAATTTTCCTGGAAGCATAGAATAACCAGAAAATACCTGAATCAAATATTCAAAACAAAGGACTTTTTTACAATATTCCTTGATGAGGTGGTTTGCTTATGGATTGAACTACAGAGTTGGAAATGTAAACTTGATTAACTAGAAGTAATAGATTTAAAATTTAAGACTGCCAGATATAATATGATTTTTCAACATTTATATTTTGGTTGCAGGTGATAATGTGGTTCAAAAAATTTTGACAGCAGCAGTTCCTACAGAAAATAGCTTTACATAGCAATTGGAAAAATGTGCACAGAACTGTATCAGCACGCGGTTAACATATTGTCTCAAGTATGTACAATTCAGAAAGAAATTACTGCATCAAGTAGCTTGAACCTTGAGAAAAACATTAAAATAATATATATTTGATGTTAAAAAATATTCTTAGTATTTCTATGAATTCTTAATCTTGAAAATGTTAATTTATAATGCCTTTCCTTAATGGGCTTACTCACGTAATCTCCTTTTTCATATAAAACACAGCTTTATTGTCCAAAATAGAAATCAGACCATGTTTTAAAATTTAGTAAAATAATATAAAAATGTCAAAATTTAGGCCCAACTTTTTGAAAACATTTTAAACTAGAAGAAATATTACCAAACTGAACATGTCATATCTTTATGAACTGTACAAAGAGAAGTATGGGTAGGTTGGTAGAGATCCTGATGAGTAATAAAATTGAATTGGGTACACACGCACCCAATGCTTGGTATTGCTGACACACAAAAATTAGTTAATAAAAAGGACACAAGCAAGTACAATAACATTTTTTTAATTTTATCAAGACAAATAGAGCTCGATATATATGTAACTTAGCTAGCTACAGCAATATAGAAAGCTTCAAGACCACAAAAAGTATTGAAACAAGAAAGTCAAAACTACAAAAACTGAGTTACTTAAAAATTTTATGTAACTCAGTTTTTGGAGAGGAAAATATCTAAAAGAGGAAAAATCTTTTAATGTTATCTTGTTTTTGTTTTTTTTGCCCCCCAGTGGCACAGCAGTAAGTCTGCGGACTTACAACACTAGAAACCAGGTTTCGATACCCATGGTGTAGCTTTGTGCTTAATCATTATTAAATCAATTGTCATGTAAATAAACAATTAATTGAAATCATAAGTGTTTTGGATTAATTTTCAATTATTACAACTGTCCAAGTAATCAAACTAAATTTGTTTTTACCTCAAGTCTGTTCAGGTTTGGGTGGCTGGTGGTTTGAAAGTCTTGGGTTCGATTCTCATACACATTAATCTTGCTCCCCAGTCTTTATTATGGCAAAGCTGCTAAGACTATTATATTCACTAATTTTGAACTGCTAGATACATGGAAGGCAGCACCCACCACCAACTTTTTTTTTTTTGAACTTGTGACTAAAAGGAAAGCAATTGGCTTTTTTTTTTCCCTAAGTACCATGGTTTAATGAACACTATTCTAATCAATAAATCAGTTAGTAAACTCCACTAATTGCCCAGCTCCACATGTGATACGTAAAAAAAAACAGCTTATGAATTGCAACTGATTAACTTGATACAATGATGAGGAATTTTTCACAACTACAAAGGTGACCAAAACATAAGCTTAGAACATTACTGCATTTAATCTAAAATTGAAACAGAAGACAGAAGGTCAATCAGTTTAGCAAGGTCCCTCTTTTAATCTATGAGCCACAACCACCATGTCACATAGTTTTTAAAGTCATATTATTTGCCAATGTAAGTTCAGTTTAATTAAAATTAACTGAACATAGACTTTCTACAAGGTTATAATTTTAACCAAGAAACCATTTTTAGATAAGAAAAATAGATCCAGGCTTCCAATGCTTATAAATATCATCGTTAATACTTAAATCTCTACTCTCAACTTTATAACTTAAACATACATATAACAGAAAAATATTAAAATAAAGACATGGTGATTGTAAGCTCACCCCTAAATCAACCTCCAGTCTTTTTATCTAACTTAAGTTAAATACAGCTCTACACATTACCTATCCAACATAGTTTTAAAATAAATCAAATTAACTGCACATATTATTATTATTACATTAACAGGAAAACCATTTCTGAAGTTCATATCTTCTACTGAAAAAAATCCATCACAGTCAAGTTAATGAACAAGTCTGTCTCTAGGTTTCCAAAATTTAAACCTCTTACTCCTAACACTAAAGACACAAGTTTGGATTTCCACCCTTTATGCAGACAACTAACACACTAGGATACAAAAACAAACAAACCATAAAACCTTTTTAAACACCAAATTGATTGTGGGTCCATAGTATCTTGACTAAAAACTACTTCATAACATGAACGTATCATTAAAAAAATTTAAACAAGAATACCATTAACAGTGCAATTAATCTCCAATAGTAATAACCCATAATTACTGTACTTCACATAAAAAATAATGATTTCACCCAATATTTTGGTCAGTTCTTTATGCTGAAGTGAATATTATAGGCAAAAAATATAAGGTTACTTATTGATATTATGATGCAAAACTTGGACTCAACCAGTAATGAATGATATAAGAATAAGCAATATTTTGAAGTTTAAAGTAAGGACCATGCTGTGACATCAGTAATACAACTTACAAGCCTAAAAGTAACTAAAAGTTAGTCAGAAGAGTCATGGCCAGGGTAAAACAGTAATCTACATTAAACCAGACACAAGTTGCAAAACGGGTATATTAGTTGTTAATGTTATTATTATTAATATATTGATAATAATAATAATGCTATTATATGATTAAATATGACCAAGGTATATAATATTAATAATATGATATTATATACCTCAGTCATATTTGCAAGTCAGGTCATAAAAATTACAAGAATTTCTAATACCAATATTAATAATAATGATACTTACATTAAAATCGAAAATTTAAGTTACAACTATTACCAATAACTAGTAGTAGCAGTGAGTAGTATTGATAAAGAGCTACTAAATTAGGCTACTAATTTCTAGTACTAGTCATTAAGGGAGTATTAGTAATAATGATTTCCAGTAGTAGTACTACTACTAGTACTAGTCACTAGGGAAGGCTACGTCAATTTTATTCTATTTTAGGTTTCTACCTTTGCGTTTACATTTTAATAAACACTTTTCGTCCGTTTCAATTTCTAGAGCATTCGTCTTTTTTTTTTAAACAAACACCTTTTAAACTAAACTATTAAAGGAAACTATTTATAGTAGGCTTAACAACCAACCTTCTTCCATTTTATCACACGTCATCCCTATATCCAGGAAAATTTATCTTCAGAAAAGTTACGGAATACTCGTGTACGGTTTCAATTCAAGGTCACACACCTAATCTTCCTTTGTAGTTTCATTTTTACGAAAACAGTAATACATCGAAAACCGTTAAAAGCGTGTTTAATATACGTCTCATGACAACATAGAATCCATGCTTAATTTTCTGAAAGTAAATAACCTAGTAAGAATCTTGTACAAATATGTTTAAACACATATGTACAACAGAACACTAGTCAAGCAAGACAATATTTGGAACAAGTTTATTTTCGTAAATATCTTCTGTTGGAATTATAAGTAGTTAGACCAATGAAATTTATTAAAGTAATTGCAAGTCTTTACTACGTTGTCGGACAAAAAAAAAGCAGAGTTTTTGACCAGTTTACATGATACGTAGGTATTCTAGCTGTAAACAAATATATTTATATTAAGGTGACATGTTTTAAAATATCAATACTGGTTGTTACTATTTAGTTGAACATTCTTGACAGTATTCTAGCAAACTGTTTTCTCTTGCAAAAGGCTTTATCGTAAGACTTTCATATCAAAAGCACACCGACGATCCCTGAAGGCTTCCTATAAGCCATTCATTGTTCAGGGATAATGATATTATCAGCGCCTTTTTCAACTGTCTTGTCGCAAAAATATCCATAGGCGCTACATCAGCAATTTCATGGGTATATGACTTCAAACTGAATTCCATGAATGTCCATTTAATTCTCCAACTGCTTTATGTAGCTGACAGTGTACCAGATATGTGGTGGAAGCAACTTTTAAACACGAGATCTGTGTCACGTTTCCAGACAGAGATTCTTTTTGAATAAGTTGCCTGGGACATGTGGATGGCTTTTGCCCCTGACCTTTGTGTTCATGGATTCTCAACTGTTACAAGACACTTATCACAGCTGGAGTATCACCTGTTGCAGGTCTCTTTTCTTGGTGGTTATGGTCCTCCAAGTTAATCCACATTCCTTTGTTTTGCAATGCCATTAAATAAAAGGAACATCCCTATCTTGGAAATTTTAAATACCTGATCTGAACACATCTTTATGATCTGAGTGTAAGAATATTTTGCATTACAAAGGACTATTACATAACATACCTCAAAGATACCAATTTTCAGAAGTGTCACACTACCTATGAAATGCCAAATGATGTTTCCATACATGCTGTTTCACACCGAATATATATCGACTGTGGTTGTCACGTGATTTCCCAATTTGCATATTAAAAATGTTTAAAATTAATATGATATAGTGTTACGACAGTGGAAGTCACGTGAAGCTGGTAGCACGTAATGAGTATTTATAAGGTTCCTGAAGGCTCGAGACGCCCTATATTTTGTATATACATGTATAAGACTGGCAAATAAAGCGAGGGAAGATAACTGAATAGCAGACAGGGAGATAGAGACAAATAATTGAGTCAAGCCATAAGTAAAGTGTGTAAATCGTTGTGAATTATAGCATGTGTTGAAGTTAACGTGACTGTGGAAAATTCTGTGTATTGCAAAGTTGTATTGAGGAAGAATAAACTAGTTTTATTTAAGAAAGGGCTTGTATCGCTGAAGTTCCTCGGGAAGAATTTGTTATGCGAAATTATCAAACGAACAAAGACGTAACAATACTTAACTCTCTGTATTCCCAGGAGAAGCAAATATCTAACTTACACAAGAATTAGTTGCCTTTGTTCTAGTGTAGAACAGTCCTGTCTTGTTTTCATGAAGTAACTCATTGATGTTTGATGATTAGTCAAGAGACTGTAGACATTCTTCTTTTTAATGTTGAAAATAAAATGTAGTCATATAAAATCGTAGAACTATCTATGGGATATGCAGCATGTCATGGGTTTTCTACATTCTAAAGTAAAATAGATATTTTCAAAATTATTAATTGTTTAATTTATGCACTATCATGGCAGCAATAGGTGGTCCAGAAATTTGCTAACATTGTTTTGTTATAGTTACTTCATTTCTTTGTTTTCTTTTACAGGTGACATCTCTTCTGCCCTCAAGGATATTTTAACATTAGATAAGGCATCTGAGTTGAACGAGTTTTGACTGGAATAACTTTTGCTGGCCAATTATAACTGTTACGACAGCGGAGGTCACGTGACGCTAGTAACACGTTATGCGCTTCTCGAACGTTCACGTCCCTTCCTGAAATCTCGAGAGCTTACAAGATATGCGGTAGTATTGTATATATAAACCGGTAAGAACTGACGGCAACAATGTAATGTGTAATCGAACTGCGGACAGAGAGAGACGTATTGTTGAGTCGAGCACGTGAGACGTTCGTTGTGAATTATAGCGCTTGTTATAGCACGACTGTGGAAATTAAGTGTATTGCAAAGTTGTATTCAGAAAGAATAAACCAGTTTTATTTAAGAAAGGACTTGTATCGCTAAAGTTTCTTCGGAAAGAATTTTTACAGAAAATTAACTAACGACCAGAGACGTAACATAACATTGACTGAAAGTAACAGCCGACCAATGCTGTCAGGGAATAGGGCTCATGAGATGATGTCTGTCCAATGGACACAGAAAGCAAGTTAGCATTCTGGATTTAAGCACACTTTCTTGGATCAATACTCCACTAGTCGATCCACAAAAAAGACCTGGACTGGGTTTAGGCATTGTTATCCTACTTTGTAAATTGCTTGTGTAACAAGATGAACTGAATTTCTGTTTCAAAACTCTTTACCAAACTGAGATCAAAAAGAATGGAATGGGGATGCATATTTGCATTTTGAGGAGGTGGTAGGAAATGATACCTTCAAACACATAATTGGCGCTTCATGGTGCATGATGGGTGTAGTGCAGCACATTACCATATCCTGTTGCAATGACAGAACCAATGCATAAACTGATTTCTGTCTGGAAAGCAGGATACACTTGCCCAAATTGTTATCTGTTTGAATGTTAGTGTTGTACTAATGATAGTATGTAACAACAGACATTTGACTATTTATCTTCCAAACAGAATGATCATTAGCATAGTAATGGAAGCAGAAGAAATACAAACAAGCCAAGTAACTGGTGTTGCAGTCATCGTACCATAACAAACTTTCAATCTCTAGATGAAGACTGAGCTAGCATGATACAGGGGCATGAATTCGTTACTCAATAGGTTTCTGAAATCATGTAGCAAATTTCTTTGGGCAACAATCACATATCATCACTTGAGCAAGGTAACATGTATCCAATCAAACAACCCCCACTTAGTTTCCTTGGAGTACCAGGAATGTTGTCAGGACTGAAACTGAATGTATGTTGAAGGATGGTATAATACAACTTTCGGAGAATGCTTGGTTGTCTCCTGTGTTGTTGTCAGAAATGGGAAAGAACATCAAAGTTCTTTGAGGACTTTAGATTGTTCAACATGGTGATAAACATAAATGCTTTTCCACTAATGCGTACAGACAATGGTAGAGATGTTTCATCTTTGTAGATGACATACTAGCCTTTGATCACATATTTCATCTCAGAACTTGCTTGAAACTGAAACCAGAAAAGTGTGCTTTCATGTACAAAGAAGTGGAATTTTTTAGTCACATAACGGGCTGGGAGAGAGAACTCACTGATCCTGCAAAATTTATAGCGATTAAGGACTAACCCCAGCCTTAAACTAATTAAGAAATCTACAGCTTCTAGGTTTCGTATCATGTTATTGTGAATATCCAGATGAAACTGAATTAACTTTAGAGTTATATCAGAATACTCCACTAGATAACAATTGGTTCGTTCAAGATATCGATTATGGAGTAGTAATAAATATATTACTAACTGAATGAATGTTAGATTAAATAAAGATATTGTACAAAAGGTGTAAAACAAAATGCACAATATTTATTGTGACAAAGAAACACAACACAATGTGTGTACTTATGTTTATAATTACCCTGGACAATTACTTTTGCTAAGCATTCTCTTCTGACCATTCGAGTTGAAACCATGTACCAGACTATTTAATAGTAGCTTTCCTTCGCCCACAAGAAATCTCGCATTTATTCAGATCGACATGTGCTACCCACATGTCTGGTAATTCTCATTACAACACAGGGGATGCATTACTTCTAGACAGCACCTACTGAACAATTGTTGGATGACACTGCTGTTGACATCCTTACACGATATGTAGTATATAGCAATGTTTTCTATCTAGGTGGTAGCAGGTTTTACCTGTTTTCCAGAGTATTATAGAAATAAACGTAACTTGAAACAAAATCAACTTAACAGTTTTCTTGGCCATGTGTTATGTGAAACCAGCAAATGTTCAGAACAAAGAATGAGTTCAGAATAAATATTATAATGCTATAAGAACAAAGATACACATAGTATATTCATGTAGCACATTATCAACAGTTTGTAGTTAGTTTTTCCAATGGACCTGAAAACCTTTTATTCATTGTGTCATGGACTCCTAGCCAATGCCAATCAGCGCTGTAGGTGACAACATTGTGCCATTAGCACAGCAAACTGTGTTTGTCTTATCTATTTTTGAAATTATGTGATGCACCTACCATGGACGAAATAGTTAATGATGAATCTGAGTTTGATTCCCCAAAGGGAACATACAAAATAACAGTTACATTTAGGAGAGGTGTCCAAACACCTGAACTACCCATACTTTGTGCTAAATCTTCACTTGTTAATACGCATAAAGTCTTCCTTTTTTTAAAACTGTTTTGTGTATGTGTGATTGTTTTGTATTTATGTGCATTTTCTTTTGTTTCATATTGTTGCGTCAGCGAGGTCACGTGACTAGTGTCACGCCACGTTTCGAGAAATATCCTGTTCCTTCGTGAATGCCCTAGCATTTGCTAGATATATGTTAGTCTGGTATATATATATAAGACGCTCACAACGTGACGGGACAACAATGTGTGTAGGTAGTGAGTAATTGATCTGCAGTCAGAGAGTATTGTTAAAGTTCGTTATAGCGTCTGTTTTAGCGCGAATGTTGAAATTAAGTGTATTGTAAAGTTATATTCAGAAAGAATAAACCAGTTTTATTAAGTAAGGACTTGTGTCGCTAAAGTTTCGTCGGAACGAAGTTACGGAAAATCAACTAACGACTGGAGTCGTAACAATATCATACTTGGGCCATGCTGTGTTTTATTTTTCTATATTATATGCATCTTACTTTCAGTTCTATTTCTTTGGTGATTACTTTTAATTTTGTAATGTAACTGGCTGGAATTACAATTTTCTCACTATGACAT